TTATGAAATAATAAAATTATAATAAACGCCATGTTTACAATCATTTAAAAGGCGTATACAGTTTTTTGGAACTTGCTGTATATGACTTCAGTTCAAAGTGACAATCGCTACTTCGTGGCGCTGTTGCAGCTTTTCATTACGGGAAGAAGTACTTGTACTTTTTAGGGGATTTTAGACGTACACTGTATGACTACTCTCGCAGTTTGCTCAATCGTCTGACCTCTCAGTCCTTTTGCCTTCCTTTCTCGCCTCACTGAGCACACAACTCTTATGTAAACTCTCTTTTTTATCTTTTAGAAAACGCAAGAAGTCTGTACCAAAGATTCAACACCCAGAGGAGACCGCGGAAGGCGAAGCCGAGCCCAAAAGCGGTGGTTTCATGGGGATGCTAAGAAGGGGCAGTAGTTTTCTTGTAAGTTTGACACGTCTCTTCAGTCTCTCTCCCTGTCCCTCCCAAGACGTGGTCGATGTCAACTGAGGCTTTACTGTCACACTATTTCTTGCGCGTTCCTCATTTCGACGCTAGCGAAGGAACAACCCCATCAAACTGTGGGCAGGTTGCCTAAGCCTAACCGGGCGTACACATCCAGCGTCAGTCATGCGAATGACGACTCACAGCTACCCGTTACAGGAGGGGCTAGGCCAGAGGTCGGGAACCTTTTTGATTCAGAGAGCCAAGGATGTAAATATTGGCAAAGATATTTCAGTGGGAGCCATATAATATTTTTAAGATTGAATTCAATTAAATGTTAGTACAGTAAGCCTGTGGATTTATTCTCTTAACTCAAAATCGGAAGTTTTTAATTCCAATTTTATCTGAGAGAGCCAGTTGCAATCATCAAAGGGCCACACCTGACTCGGGACCCATACTTTCCTGACTCCTGGGATAGGCCGTCGCCATCAATGCTCACGTGCCTGCAACCCTTTTTGCCTTCACTTCCAAATTATGCAAGTCAATCCATTTCGTGTGGTGATCCGATCTGATTTTATCTCCGTGTTTCATCCTAGTCTAGTTGGTGCGCGTCCTGGTTGCGGTTGATGATGACACTTAGACCTGAATGAAGGATACGGTTGAACGGTCACGATAGGAGCGCTTTCGCAAGACCTTCCGAGTCGGCCATTTCAGAGAGGATGACTAGAATTATAGCCCTCGAGTGAGGGATTAGGACTATTGAGGGGAAGGATTCCAGCAAGATGAAAAATTAGACATACCTTGCAGCAGACCTAGCAGAGGATGGAATATCCCACCACTTTTAGTAGTACTGGTAGGATTATCTATGAGCTCGGTGAAATCCAATAATCCCATGAGCGGACAGAGAACGCCATATTCATTTGAGAACTGACTGGAGAATGGACTGCTCGTATTAATGTTACGACGAGCTGATAATTACTAATGCAAGTGGATTTCTGCGAAAAGACTGATGTAGCGAAAGAAGAAACTCGAGTATTTCACGACCAAAGTAATTGGCAGAACATTCTGTTCTTTTTTGCGCTTTATCATGGGTTGATCAACAAAGCTCTGCGAAAATCCAACAAAACAATAAATGTTTTAGTTTATTTATTCATCTCCATCGTTCGGTCACCGAAGCGCATAGGCGTTCCCCTTAGGGATAAATAGGCAATAATGGTCATACATTATCGTCACGTCGCAGAATTCCATCTGCCCGGGTACCGAATTTCTTGAAGTCGCTTCATAGTTTAAACTTATTGAAACATGCTTAGGCTTTTTATTTGGATGGGAATCGTTTATGAGCCACCCCCATCCAGGAAATAACGAGGAATTGTGATACCTTCACCCAGTAGTACGGGGGGCAGGGCTACCTATTCCCGTGTCGTTACCCTGACAGTGAGCCCAAGCCGAACTTCAACCGCAACCCTTATACTTAACCCCAGTCTAATCCTAACATTATTCCGGTAGTCGTCTATTATAGGGCTCACTACGGAAACCAGATCCTCAGAAATCTGTAATACGTGATCGGTGGTAATAGGGATTATACGGGTGGGGCAATACAGGGACGCAGCAGAAAAAAAATAAAAGAAATACATCAAACAAAATCAGGACATGGTAGATAGGATTATTATAAAGACCTAATATAAAGCAACGACGAAAATCAAATGAAAATGAAAAAATATTAAATATAAGCGAAATAAATAATTAAAATAATAAACTGTAACGTAAGAGTAAATAACCATCACCGTCGGTCACGTATTAAATAGTGCTGAGGTTTGGTTTTCGTTGTAATAGACTGTTACTATTAATCCTAACCCAGTTTCTCAAAATCTAAACAAGATGACTTGTATTGCATGAAGTTCCCATTTCCCCATACTATCCTGTCGTAGACGAGGATAGGCGATGGCATACAAGCTAGCGGTTAACTGATGTACTGCTTTTGGTGGGGACTATGGCTAAGAAACCTCGTGCAAGCGTTAGGCTGTCTGTCGAAGTTGTCGGGGTTTTTCCGTATCATCCAAACCCAGTGTCTTCCACATAAATATAGCTCCCGCGAAAGTATGCCCCGCCGGTAAGTGGATAAGACCAATGGCAAAGTCCCCTCACCCCAATGCCTTAGAGGATTCATCGTTCAAATAACATGAAAGTGTGGAGCACATCAAAGGCTGTATAGGTGCATGATAACTGCGCGATAAGAAAGAAATTAAAGTCGCCTGTGTTTCTTTTACCGAACTAAAAGGTAGGCGAAAAGGTTGAGAAAAGGACAAAAAGACTTAAAAGGAAGACTATCAGAACAACTCCTATCGACCAAAATACTCAGGGAAGTACTTGGATAGACAGAAATTTGGCCTACTTAAAAGTTGGAAGTAGGTTTTACTTATTGCAACTCCTAGAGGCGGCCATACGATGAACTCTTACTGTTAACTGTTCTTTTTTCCCATTTTTAGCAAGCGCGCAGAGAAACGAAACCCAACGCAGAGGATGACTTGCAAATGGCGCGGACCATGTTTGCTGCGGTCAGGCGCGAATCATTCTATGCAAACCAGGCTCGCTAGAGTGAGTTTATTTATCCTGCCGGGGCCCCCAGCATTATTTTTCAAAACTTAAAACTCTTAGAAAGTAAAATACGCTCTCAAATCTAACAAGTATGCGCGGAAATTTGCAAAATCGGAACAACCTGAAAGGAAAGAGACTTGGTAGCTGAAAAGAGAACTTTACTGCCCGAACATTTCATAGTCACTCCCGAAAACAGGCACAGGATGGACAGTGGGCTCGGATGTTGGGGACGTACCTCTTATGTCCCCACATACACAACGGTCCAATCGTCGCATCACATTATATATACAGCGTGATGCTTGTGGTGGGACAGGGACGGCGATTTACCTGTGGATTAGGTTTACATTATTATAAACTTGCGTTTCATTTACCGCACTCTCTCGTTCTTCTCCCTCACCTGTTCGAGCCCCGTGTCACGACAGAGTCAAGACGGGCACAGGCGGCCTGACACCAGAAGCCTGACTCAAATCCCATGGAGCTGACTGCTGTAAAAGCCACGAGAGGCCTGTTCCTGAGCCTGCACCTACGGTGCCACAGACGCCCCCCTCGCATATTCGGCATTTTTATGGTTGTACAGCCTGAATAACGCCTGCCATGCTCTGATCTGGTTGGTTCAGCATATCTATCACGTGGTCCGTTTAGGGGGCACTGCCACAGACACACGCATCTCTAAACAGTGGCAGCATCCTCACGCCTTCACCTTAGTCATTTAAACTTGGCAGTTAATGCCTTTTCCCCCTGCACTGGAGTGATTAATACTCTCAACGTTGGCGCCGTATTTGGTGATTGACATGATAATTGCCCAAGCTCGTAACATGTTAGTACTGCCCTGCAAAGCAGCATTTACTCACCTGCTCCCTGCTTGACTATCATGACAGAAAGTAAGAATTGACTTAGGAGGAGAGAGGACGTTGTGTTCATTGGTGGACTGGGGGAGGGTGAATCAAACAGCGCACGACTCGCACAGTACTGGCGTCTGGTAGGAGTTCTGGCCGCGCTGAACTAGATGATGCAGGCTTATACCGCTCCATCAACCGCGGCTGTAGATTTGGGAATACCTGCTTCACTGCTCGTCCATGTTCGACCTTTCGCGTCCTGTGTAGATTCCCTGGTTCTCCAGCAACGAGATCAGAAGTAGTAACCGACTCCAGGCGGTAATACATGGAAAGCGGAAAAGCCCCATAATACGTTGACCTTCCGCTAAATCCCCGGCGTATCTATTTCCCTGTTCTAACTTTAACTTTGATTTGAATCCTAACCTTACCTTTGCCCTTACTCAAACCCTACACATAGTCTAAAAATGAGCACAAGACCATCTGAATTACAAGAGGGGTTCTGATTCCCATCGCATTCCCTCCCGACGTTTTTTGTCCTGCAGATAGACCGTTTGTCTACCGTCTCTATACAACCATAATCATGACTTGACTATGAGGGCGACCGACATTTTTTCAATCCCCGGAAGCGCAAACCAGACTTCCAACCTGCTGTGGTTTGATCACTTGTCCCATCTTTGCGTGCATAGGTTGCCTAGTCTGTACGGTTAATCATTAAAAAGCTTCAACAAAAGGCACCATTCTTTTTAGTAAAACTGCCTGAAGGCTTATATTGGTCTTAACTGCTGGTAATTCAACAGTTTCTGAAAATACCCGTAATTCTCCAGGCTTTATAACAACACCAACTTATAAACAGAATACAAAACGTGACGTATCTAAGTCATTATAGTATTCTGGAAGCACCAGAATTTGTCTAAATTGACACACGTAAGGATAACCACCCATGTTTCAGGTGGAACAGTTGGTGCGCAGAAACGTTGGAATGCATGAATTTAGGAAACATGTTCTACAACATTACGACCTATTAATAAGCAGGTCCAATTTTCTCACAAATTAGGTATTAGAAATGACCTTGTTGCACACATTTCCTTATGGACAGTAAGCCGACAAATACAGCGTCTTTAACTATGCGAGCCTTACCGATTCAAGTGATGTTTCTTTCTTTCCCCATTTACTGCACTAAAACTAATAATGACAGTCAATATCAAAGTTAAACAATGTAAATTAAACTTAGAATGTGGCGTGAATTGTGAGAATGCGGTTGACTAACCCTGATGAGGCATTGCCAAACAGGTGGCCTGAATGAAGGGGATTTTATAGAAAACAGTGGAACCACGGTTAACAAGTTTAATCCATTCCAGCACATGAAGCGCTCGACTTGAGAAACGTAGCCAATCAAACTGCACCAATTCGCTGATTGGCTGCGGGCGACCGAGGATCCGCGCTCTGGAAGCAAGACTCAACGGCGGATACAGGCACACACACGCACTGACAACTCGTTAACAGAGCAGAAGCTCGTCAATAGAACTAAATTCTCTGCTAGTGGCTCACTCATTACCTGAAATGCTCGTAGATGGAACTGCTCGTCACCCGAGGTTCCATGGTAGCTTCCTCATCAACCATACCTTCTACACCTAC